GGAATGGCCAGTCAGCGGAGCAGTCAGAACACACACAGCATTTATTAAGTTTGTCATCTTATGTCAGCACAAATTACAGTGCCCCAAAACACAATAGTAACATCAAAAGTCAGTGATCACAGATTACCATAACAAATATAATAATAATGATAGAGTTTGAAATATTGTGAGAATAGCCAAAATGTGACACAGAGACATGAAGTAAGCAAATGCTGTTGGAAAAATGGCATTAATAAACTTCCTTGAAGCAGGGTTGCCACAAACCTTCAATTTGAAAAATAACACACATACACCAATAACAAACTATCAGAAGAAAAAATTAAGACAATAATCCTATTTACAATTGCTTCAAAAACAATAAAATACTTAGAAATAAATTTAACCAAGGAACTAAAAAACCTGTACTTAGAAAATTATGACATTGAATAGAGAAATTAAAGAAGATACAAATAAATGGAAACATATACCATGCTCATGGTTAGGAAGAATTAATATAGTTAAAATGCCCGTACTACCTAAGGCAATGTATATAGATTCAGTGCAATCCCTATCAAATTACCATGACATTTTTTAGAAGTAGAAAATATAATTCTAAAATTTATATAGAACCATAAAAGATCCTGAATAACCACGGCATCTTGAGAAAGAAGAACAGTGTTACCTGACATCAAATCATACTGCAAGGCTATAATAATCAAAACAGCATGGTATTGGCATTAAAAGAAGAAACATAAATCAGTGGGAGAGAATAGAGAGCCCAGAAATAAATCCATGCCTATATGGTCATTTAATCTATGATAATGGACGCACAAATTTACGCTGGGGTAAAGACAGTCTATTTAATAAATGGTGCTGGGAAAATTGGACAGACACATGCAAAAAAAAGAAGCTGGACCACCTTCTTACGTCATATGCAAGAATAAATTCAAACTGGACCAAAGACTTAAATGTAAGACCCAAAACCATAAAACTCCTAGAAGAAAATATAGGAAGTAAATTTGCAGACATTACCTTTAATGATATTTTTACTGACATATCCTCTCAGGCAAGGGAAGCAAAAGAAAAAATAAACATGGGATTACATCAAACTAAAAAGTTTTTTCACAACAAAGGAAACATCAGTAAAACAAAAAAGCATCCTACTGAATGGGAGAAGATATTTGCCAACGATATATCTGATAAGGGGTTAATATCCAAAATTTATAAAACACTCATGCAACTCAACACCAAATAAACAAACAACCCAATTAAAAATTGGGCGAAGGACATGAAGAGACATTAAAGAGGACATACAGATGGCTGACAGGCATGAAAAAATGCTCAATGTCACTAATCATTAGAGAAATGCAAATAAAAACCACAATGAGATACCAATACACTAGTCAGAATGGCTATCATCAATTAATCAACAAACAACAAGTGTGGTGAGGTTGTGGGGAAAAGGGAACCCTCATGCACTGTTGTTGGGATTGCAGATTGGTGCAGCCACTATGGAAATCAGTATGGAGATATCTCAAAAAACTGGAAATGGAACTACTGTATGACCCAGCAATTCCACTCATGGGTATCAATCCAAAGAAATCCAAAACACTAATGTGAAAAAATATATGCACCCCTGTGTTTATTGCAGCGCTATTCACAATAGCCAAGATATGGAAACAACCAAAAGGCCCATCGATAGACGATTTGGATAAAGAAACTGGTACATTTATATAATGGAGTATTACTCGGCCATAAAAAAGAATGAAATATTACCATTTGCAACAACTTGGATGGACCTAGAGACCATTATGCTAAGTGAAATAAATCAGAAGGAGAAAGACAAATACCATATGATCACACGTATATGTGGAATCTAAGAACAAAATAAATGAACAAACTAAGCAGAATTAGACTCAGAGATATAGGGGAAAAAACACCTGAGGGTTGCTAGGTGGGATGGGGGTGGGGTTGGGGGAGAAGGTAAAGGGAATTAGAAAGTACAAATTAGTAATCACAGTATAGCCACGGGGATATGAAATACAGTTTGGGGAATATAGTCAATAATGTAAAGATTTTGTAGGGGTTAGATGGGCACTTGTCTTATTAGGGAGACCACTTCATGGACTGTAGATGTTTGACCACTGCGCTGTACACCTGAAGCTGAAGCTGAATAATATGGAATGTCAACTATAATTATATAACAGTAATACCATGGTTTGCAAGCATAATTCATTCTGGAAACAAACTACTCGTATTGCAAGACATCGCTCATTTACCACATTAAAATGTATTAGGAATGTTTGCTTGTCTTGCGGAACACTTGCAAACCATGTTACTCGCAATTCAAGGTATGGAGTATAGCATAGAGAATAGAGTCAATGGAATTGAAACAGCTATATATGATATCAGAGGGGTAGCAGATTGGAGGAGGGGTTATCACTTTATGAGGGGTGTGTCTATTACATTGTTTAGTATACCTGAAACTAATAAAAAAAAATACAGGTATTGACCTTAAACCAAAACAAATGAATGAATAACGCAATATCTGCAATGCGCAATAAAATGAAGTATGCCTGTATAGATATAGCAATTTGGTTGTCTCGCCACTATTAGCACCCTTCAGATTGTTATGCAAACTGTTTATTTATATACCTCTGCCTCTCAGCTCAAAGCTCAGAAAGCCATGCTTTATTAATCTTTATATACCTCTGAATAGTAGAATGCCTGACACCAAATATTCAATGAATATTTGGAGAGTACATCTGAGAATTGCTTTCTTCATCAGAATTTGAGGAAACATTACCAATGAGCTGTGACGTTCTCCTTAAACAACATAACATACAAGTAAATATCATAAATAGAAATTCCTCAACGCTGCTAGAATCCACACTCAGCCACCTGTAGAAGAAAGGAATGAGGTCTTGGGAATGTGGCCCAGTTTTTCTCTTCTCATTCCCCTTCCAAAATGTATGCCAGTTGCCCTAAGGCTTCCGAAGAACCCTGGAGGCAGCAGCTCACTTTGTGTAGGAAGGAAAATTAGTATAGCTGCAAGGTGATCCCAACTCCTTGCCTGTCTGTTGATTTTGAATGCTCCATTCACTTCAGAATCTCTGCTGAGAGCTAAAACATTGCTTCTGCAAGGACGCATTTATTTTAGGCATAGCTTCATTCTTCAGGTGTGCAGCTTCACAGCATCCCTATCCTAAATTATGAGAAAAATATAGAGAAAGCTAAAATGGTTGGCCTGAAGATGTTTGACATCCCTTTTTTTTGGTGATTTCTGTTTTATTACTTATGGTATTTAAATTGACTTACTCGTTAAATTTATTCCTTTTTTCTAGTTATATTGAGATAACAATTTGACATATAGCACTGTATAAATTTAAGGTGTACAGCATAATGATTTGACCTACAAATATTGTGAAATGATTACCACAATAAGTTTAGTTAACCTTCATCATTTCATATACATACAAAAAAAATAAAGGGAAAAAAAGCAAAAAAAAGTATTTTTCCTTTTGATGAGGACTCTTAGGAGTTACTTTCTTAACAACTTTCATATATACCATACATCAGTGTTAACTAGTGATCATGTGCATTACACCCCTAGTATTTGTTTATCCAGAAGTTTGTTCATTCACTTCCCCTTTCCCTATACCTCGTCTCTGGTAACCACAAATCTGATCTCATTTACTAGAGAGAATTTAGGTTTTGCTTGCCCTCTCTTTATTTTTTTTCCTCTCTCTCTCTCTCTCTCTCTCTCTCTCTCTCTCTCTCTCTCTCTTTCTCTTTGATTCTCTCTCTCTCTCTGTCTGTCTTTTTTTCTTTTTTTTTTTAGATTCCACATATATGTGAGATTATACAGTATTTCTTTTACTCTTTCTGAATTATTTCACTTAGCATAATGCCATCAAGGTCCATGTATGTTGTCACAAATGATAAGACTTTTTTTTTTATGGCTGAATAACATTTCATTTTACACACACACACACTCCACAACTTCTTCCAGCCATCCACCGATGGACACTTAAGTTGTTTTCATGCCGTGGCTATTGTAAATAATGCTGTTATGAACATGGGGGTGCAGATATCTCTTCACAAGGGTGTTTTCATTTCCTTTAGATATATTCTCAGAAGTGAAATGGCTGGATCATATGGCAGTTCTATCTTTAATTTTCTGAGGCACCCCCATACTGATTTCCATAGTGGCTGCGCCAATTTACATTCCCACCAACAGTGCACAAGGATTCCCTTTTCTCTCATCTCACCAGCAATTGTTATTTCTAAATTTATTCTTTTGATAGGTTTGCATATGCTTCTTTTTTCTGACCTCGAGATTTAACAACTTTTTAAAGAAAAAAATGAAAGACCTGGTCTGACAAAGGAATTTTTCTAATTCATGAACTTATTGTATACCTTCAGAAAGATAAAATAAATAGCGTTTATTAATTAGTAAGAATAAAATCACGTTAAATCACCTCTGGTATTGAAACCAAAGACATAGAGTTTCCATATCCATATGTCTTTATGTACTACTACGCATGTGGTTGCCACTTAATAAATATGTATTGGTTAAACAATTTAATAATAGGATGTGCTCCCTTCCATTGAACACAGACCATAAGAAAGACTTTAATAAACAGCAGTGTTTTCTCCATCTCCTGGGTTTCTTCACAGCAAACAGATCCGGGCTCTGCTAGGCCAGTTCAGCCAGGCAGAAGCATTATTAATGAGAGCTGGAGTGCAGCCAGGGACTGTGGATGGAGTCCTTTTGGATCTTGGATGTTCCTCCATGCAACTTGATGCTGCCGAAAGAGGTTTTTCCCTGCGGAAGGATGGCCCCTTGGACATGAGAATGGATGGTGGCAGGTGAGTATCGATAAAGCATTTCTCCTCACAACAAAAAATCAATTTCTCGAAAGCACTCTGAATTTAATTCCCTTTTAAGACTGCAGAATTCCCATTACATGCCCACACCTAACACTATCAATATATAATAAATCAGTTTCGTTGGCTACTCATTATAGCTTTTAGTGTTTCTCTAGATTTGGGATCCTAAAAGAAAAATCATTGCTGTCTTTACCCAAAACAGTAAAGAGGATGACTTTCATGCTGATTATCTTTTTTACAAATAATGTGAGCCTTTAGACGACTAACCATCTTGATAAACATGATACTGAAACAACAGTTCCCTTTTTATGCTGGCCTAACTATGTCTCTTGTGAAAAGTAAAAGGAACTATATTTAATGCATATTCTTTTGAATACTGCATACAAGTCAAGACCCTAGAGGTCAGCAGTTGTGTGTTTTTTTCCTGTGTCTTACACAGTCCCTTTGGTTCCAACTTCTTCATAAAAACAACAGTTTACAGTACTATATCAAACCAGTACTCTGCATAGGGTAGTCTGTGCCCCCTCTTCATTCCTCGCCACCCTGCCAATACTTGCATTTGTTCTCCGTTATTCAAATAGGAACATATAAAATAACACAAAAAAAGATCATATTCTAGGAAAATACAGGATAATTTCTTTCAAATATAAATGAATTTTAAAAGCTTAGAGTAACACTTGTCTCTATACCAAACAGTGGCCTAGGGACTGACCAGCCTGTACTTAACAAAACTTAACCATGCCTTTCTCCCTCATTTTATGTCCCAACCACCCCTGTCACCAAGTTATGGATGATGGCCCATGCCTCTGTGAAGCTTACCTTCTAAGGACTATAGACTTCCTTGTATCTAACTAAGCAAACTATTTGGTTATTGTCACTAATCTGCAGTTCTATACTTGCTTGAACATTTCTACTAAAACAAATAGATTTTCCAGTATTTCTTCCAGTCTATTAGAACGACCTATATATAAGAAATTTAATGTCCAGTTAAAGCCAACAAATTAAGATTGAGTTGTGACTTTAACTTCTTTCCCACAAATTGCTTTATATCAAGGTTATTATTCACACATAGCCTTTTGCCCATGTTTTGATATGACCTGTTAACTGAGATTCTGACCCATACTTGGAATCTTTTCGTTTGGAGTTTTAGACTTTCTTTTGCACAAGTTGGCATTCATAGAATGAAGAATGTGATCATAAAAAAAAATAATAAAAACCCTTTAAAAGCCAGTGACTAATAGTAAAGGTCAAATATCTTCTCATGTTTGGAGATTGAGGTTGTTGTTCAGAGGTAATAAAATGTCAAGCAAATTTCTTCTGTTCCTATGTCTTACTAAGGAGGATGCCTTCTGAAATACAATGAACAAAGCTTCTGGTTAATAGAAGTAACTTCCCGTACTGTTAATGTAAAAGACTTACCAGCAAATTTTAGTCTGAGAATCAAGGTTCCAAGTTCTCCTCTAAGAACTTGAAAATAAGATCACCCTTGAGAATTAAACTCTAAATCAATGCATAATGGGTGAGATTAGAGTTGAGCAAACATGTTAAAAAAGCAGGATGGCTTCCAGGTAGACAACACAGACTGTAACCTAATCAAACATATTGGGCTGTCAAAAAGTCATGACGTATTTTTTCTGTGTTTTTTATTGCAAAAATGCGTCATTACTTCTCCGACAACCCGATATTAACAGATTTGAAGAAAGTATGTGGCATTCTGAAAGAGGTGTTGGTTCACACGAATACATAAGAAAAGGAGAGTCAGAGATGCAAACATGTGCAATGCTAATCCAATGCTAATTATGGAGCGAGAGGGACACCAAGCCAAACAACATGGTGGGTCAGACCCTGGGGCTGATACGTGCATCCCTGTGTTGAGTATAGATGCAAAAGGCTTTCTTAACCTATTGCTATTTAACATTCGAATCTTACAGCATAGCTTATTCTGTGATCTCCCAATTTCAACAGCAGCTTTAAGAGCATAATAAGGTTCTCATGTCGCAGAAGGAAATGTCCAGCTTCAAGGACTTGCAGGTATAGCCCTTTTGTCAGTTGTATTCTTCACTAGAAGGTAATAAATAAATTTCCACTTGGGTTAATATTTTCTTTCTGTCTTGAGTGTTGTCACTGTAAGTCAGTGATCTCTGGAGGACTAATAAGATCTCTTAACCTGTCAAGTTGGAGGGGGGCAGATTTTGTATCTTGACTTCCTCACCGTGTGAATATCACCTTGAAGTCTCCTTGCGACCTGTTGGCTTTCCAGAGTGTTGCCCCTTTTGCCTTTAGCATTATGGAAACGTCTACCCTGCTGTTCAATGCTAACGTGAAAGTAAAATCAAATTATGCCTGTTGTCCACTGAACTATATTTGAGCAAAATGCTGTTTTAATTTTCTTACTTGAGAGTCGAAAGGTATTATAAAAACCTGCTAAGTACATCCATGCTAATCTTAGAATTGTCCTGGTAGAGCTAAACTATGTCCTATGGAGTCTGAATTTACCATCATTAGCAAGATTCATTCTAAAGCTCAGTTGAATTCACAACTAGGTAAGATGTATCAGGGATTTTGTCACTTAGGCCAAGAATGATGATTAGCAAATTTAGGAATGAGCAAAATCTAAGAGATGTTGACATACATTGAGCTTCTCTGTGGACTAGGCATTGTACTATTTGTCTTACAATTGCATGCATCTTTAATTCTCCCAACAAATCTGTGAGGTAAGCATCGTTACTTTCATTCACAAGTTAGAAATTGAGGCCTAACAATAGGTTAAAAGGCTTACCCAATATGAGTAGCAAAGCCAGGATTTTAATCTAGGTCAATGTGACTCTAAAGATCAAATCTTTATCCTTAAAGCTATTCTTGAAGGGCAAAACCTATTGAGATTGGAAACAGGGCTACCTTATAGGGTGTTCATTGTTCTGGGGACAGTCAGAAAAAAAAAATCACAGTATCTGAAAAGCAAGGTTTGACAGAGAGGGGTGGGGGAGAGCGCGTGCACAGGTCATGGCAAAATAGGGGACAACAACATAAAATTTCTCTTGGAGGCACGAGGCATGTCAACAAGGTGCAGCGTCGTACATTTAAGGGGAAATTTAGATGTTTCTTGGCAACCCTACTCTGATTTTATCCTCAGGTCTTAAAGCTACCATATCCTTGTTACTTAAACCCTCATAGTGTGGTACCAACAATCAATCCAACATAGTAACTGTACTACTAGCAAAAGTATCTTCCTAATAAGTAAGGTCTCAGCTAACTCATCACTTAGAATCTGTTGGCCCATTTCTCTAAAGCAAGGCAAACTGGAGTGGTCTGACAGTGAGTGCTATATTTCCTGATATTATGATTTATTTTATTTGGCCAGAAGTTGGTATTTCTTTGTCTTCTCATCCTAAAATTACCATCTAGGCTTGTTTAGTACTGGTTGTTGATTACCAGGTTTTACCCCCTGGTGTCTTTTATCATGGAGGTAGAAGCCAATATTGTTAAACCTTTGAAATAATATACATTATAATTAATATTGTTCTAATTTTTGTGAGGGAAACTGACCAGCAGTATCTTCTTGTACAGAATCCCCCCTCACCCCCTGTTTCCCCTTTCTGCAGTTTCAGTTAGTTACCTGTGGCTCAACTATGGCCTGAAAATATTAAATGGAAAATTCCAGAAATAATTCATAAGCTTTAAATTATGCACCATTCTGAGGAGCATAATGAAATCTCGTGGTGTACCTCTTTTATCTGGGATGCGAATGTTCCCTTTGTCCAGTGTATCCATGCTATATGTACTCCCCACCCAGGAGTCACTTAGTAGCCACCTGGATTATCAGATTGACTCTAATGGTATCACAGTGCTTGTGTTCAGGTCACCCATATTTTAGGTAATAATGGTGCCAAAGTGCAAGAGCAGTGATGCTGGTAATTCAGATATGCCAAAGAGAAGCCATAAAAAGTGTGTGTGTGTGTGTGTGTGTGTGTGTGTATTTGTATGTATGTGTGTATGTTTTAGGACAAAACACAGTATGTATAGGATTTGGTACTCTCTATGGTTTCAGGCATCCGCTAGGGCTTTTGGAATGTGTTCCCTGAGCTAAGGGGGGACTGGAAAGACTTTCTAAGCTCAATTTGTGCTCCCATATAAGTAGCTTGTTACTTATCAGTCTCAGATTTATTTAAGTTCCTGAGGTCTAGGCTCATTTAAATATCAGTCCGTAAAGCCTTGTATCTCCTATACTGGAAAAAAAAATTCAAGCATTAATTTAAATTTTGAGCAAACTAAATCTAGATGTTTCCATTATTTTAGTTTAGAGGAGATCTACAGAAGCAATAATAACTTCTTTGTGAATTAAAGATTAGTAAAAGATTTTAACTGCCTACTGCCCTTAACCTTCATGAATGTCATACACAGTCCTCACTTGCCATAATGATGGGTATTTGAAATGGAAAACCTATTTCATTCACGTAAGATTTCACTCTCTGACTTTAAAAACCTCAGAAGCTCTCTTAGCTATGTGTGTATGCCTGACTTGATGTCTCAGTACTCTGAAGTTTTACCTCTTGTTAATGAAAACTGACGTCAATGCACTAATTGGTTCTTCTTGTGCGTAGGTACCCTGACATGCCCACTGCAGCTGATGTTGTGAATGCTTTAGATCAACAGTCACTTGCATCCATCCTGAGAACATACGGGGAGGAGAAGCATGCCAAGAAAATAGCTTCAGCAGTTGTTCAGGCACGTAGCATCTACCCCATCACCAGAACCCAGCAGCTTGCTAGCATCGTCGCAGGTACCTTCATTAATTCTCAAGAGTGTCTGAGGAGGGGTGGGGGGGATACACACACACACACACACACACACACACACACACACACACACACACACACACACATATATATATATATCTGAGGCCCAAACTCCCAGAGGGATTCATTTGTATTTGAAATCATACAGGATAGAATCTTGCTTCTACTCTTCTCTTATGCCACTTTCTTTTGGTTTTGCAAGCTCCCCGTTCCAACACCTCTTCCCCCACACAATTTAAAATAATATACTGTAGTTTGCTGATTAATTTAATAATAGATTTTTTTTTCACCTGAGGTAATTTATCATTTGTGCCTACCAAGGTGAAATGTGGAATGACAAGAACAGAAGAATTTTTTGATTAATCACAGTGGTTGATAAGCACCCTGTATAAGATCTGACATTACCTCTTAGTTTCACATTTCTGCATTTTAATATTTTGGGCAAAAGGAGAATTGCATTGCCCAATTGCTAAAATAAAATCTGGTGACTCATACATCTATTCTAAACAACCAGCTAACAAAGGGTATGTGATGTATAGGTTATTCCACTTTGTGAATGCTAACTAAATCAGCCTGAGGGTCTTATTGAAACATTTCATCTTTTCTGCTGTTTCCCACCATAAACCTCTTGAACCTAAGTCTAGCTAGGAGGCGCTTTATTATAGCCTTTCTGTTTGAAGCCAAAGTTGTCTCACAGCTGTGTTCCATGATGAAAGTTTTCCAAGGCAAAAATACAGCTCCTGTAGTCATTCAACAGATTTCCAGTGGTAAATCCTTTGTCTTGTTGGACCATCTCAATCCCAAATGTATTAAGATTTCTTTTCAGTCGTTCCTATTAAGTTAAGTCGCTAAAGAAGTAGAAAAAAAAGAAAACGGGTGTAGCGTATAAAAAGAACTTAATATTGGTTGCCTCTATCTTAATGTTAGCTTAAGGAATAAAGCAATTATAAATTCATTCAGATCAAGATTTAGAGATCATATAGCAATTGTTTTATGACATAATTTCATAAGACTATGTTCTACTTAGTTTTGATAATAAAATACAAAGAGTTGACTAAGTCTTCAATTTTTAAGCTTCGTACCTTAAGGCCCTTACCACTTACCATTGAGCAACTTATTTTAGGCAAGTAGCCACACAATTCTTATGGGTTATGTGAGCATAAAATATCCCATGGCATTTTTCCTCCAAAAGACTTCATGCTAGAAGGCTACCACGAGATTCACCGTCTGTCTCGTGCCCCTTCCTTTTCTCCCTCCCCACTCTCACCAGCACCTCTTCACCTTACCCTTTCTGTCATTCTGTAACTAGCTCTGCTGGTGCTCTTCGTCTCCCGTACGGAAAAGAAGAGCAGCGAGAAGTCACATTTTTTATTCAAAAGAAAATCCAGAATTTTCTGCTGCTAAAAAGAGGACTTGCAGCAAGAGGGCATCCTGCAGATTATCCCATCAGAAAACTTGACCTGACAACTGATGACACTGAGGCACAGGAAGCATCTCAGCTTCTTCAGGGTCCAACCTCATTCATTAACGGCAAAGTCAGCCCTAATCTAGAATTTGGAAGCTCATGAATTTGAGGCATAATTGGGAATCTGCCTTTAAGAAATTAAGTTAACTTTTCTGTCTCAAGATCCTAATCTGCAAACTTGAGGAGATAGCATTGTGGCGTTAGATAGAAATTCTATGAAAATGTAAAATAGGAACAATTTAAGTATCTTCAGAAAGATTTGACATGAAACACATATTAGGGGGATGACAGATGATGTAGTAAAAGTGAGCATATTCACATATGTGTAGGCAAAAACCTCATTTTAGTAGATGCCACTGAAAGATTGAGTTCTCTATAATGAGTCCATTTTTATGGCTCAGATCAGCTCATAATGCAAAAACTTTATTGATGATATAATTCTTTGGAAAAAGGGAAAAATAGAAACAATGAACTTTCAGGGTTTTTTTTCATTTATTTAAAAAAAATAATAATAATTTGGGAGAGGCTGCTATATACCAGGTATTAAACTGAGTACTAAAGATAGAATGGGGAGTGAATCAGATACAGCCTCTGTGTTCACGAAGCTTACTGACTAGTAAGGGACTGAATAAAAACGTGGTGTAATAAACCTGTACTTATAGTGGAAACCTTATTTATTTTACTCTGAAGTAATGATTGTGTGGCTTATAGAAAAAGTTGCTACAAATATAGAGTTATAGAACTTATACATATACAGATATATATGGACATGCTTGCATCCTAATTGCAGTTCCACAAAGTCCATTCTTGCATAAACCACACCCATGGGATATCTTGTACAAGGTCTGATCTTATTGTTACTCAAATGAAGTAAGAATTTAAAGGTATGTACAAAACAATCTGAAAGAGACATTTTCTAGATTTTTATTATTTTTCAGTCTTTTATAATTACCTCATCCATATCTAATTTGATTGCATTTCTTTACAATGTAACTTACCCTTGTCAGGAGTTTCCAAAGTTTCTAACCTAGTTTTTATGGCAACAGCCACTGTCTTTCCTTGTGTATTCATATTTTACCAGTTTACATATTATTTGATTAAATCATGTAATGGCGATAGTAGTGTATAGCTCTTTTGGTGGGAACAGGACTGAATAGGATGCTAGAGAGTAAAATAGTATCCTGAGATAATTTGTTTACCAGAGAAGGGGGTTAATCTATCAACTTTATTAAATAGAAGTCTCTTGAGAGATCTTCTTTATAAAGGAAATATGGGAAGCAGCAGAGGACCCAGGAAGGTTTCTTTATTAGTTTCCTAGTGCCACACACTTGGTGACTTGATACAGCAGAAATTTGTTATTTCAGAGTTCTGGAGGCTAAAAGTCCAAAATCAAGGTGTCCACAGGGTTGTCGGGAAGAATACTTCCTTGACTATTCCTAGTGGCTCTTGGTTGTCCACAGTTCTCAATGTTCCTTGGCTTGTAGATGCATCATGGAAGTCTCTACCTCCATCTTCATGTGGTGCTCTCCCTGTGCATCTGTCTGCCTTTGAGTCCAAATTCCCCTCTTATTATAAGAACACCAATCATATTGGCACACCCTACTCCAGTATGTCCTCAACTTAGCTTGATTATAAATAACTGCAAAGACCCTAGTTTTAAGTAAAGTCAACATTCATAGGTTCCTGATAGACATGAACTTTGGGGGACACTACTCAACCCAGTGCAGTTCCTACGCAGTATATTTAATAACACACATGCATTTTGGTAGGCTGTAATATGCAGTGACTACACTGGAATGACTTTTCTCATACTAAATATATTCACGATGATCAAACACCCTGGGAAATATGCCACAGTTCCTGACACATAGTAAACCTGTTTATTGACAGAAACAGAAGTCACTTCCTTTGCTTTCGAAAATCTAATAATGCATTACGACAAGGAAGACTATCACACTTGTAATCACAATAAACTTAATGGAATTATATGATAAATCAAGTGATTATGCTGTAATTTGTAAAACCCAAAGCTGGTTGCCTTTTGCCAGTACGAATAACGACAGATCCAGTACTTATTTGGGAGCTCCAGATGACAGGTTGGAGGCCCCAGAACACTTAAAATTCCCATGAATTACTTTGTAAATTACCAAATCAATAATTTATATGGTAATTCCAAAAACAACCTAAATGACTTCACTGTTCATATGCACTATTTGGAACTACTAGCCAGAAACTTTAATATAAATATCTAACACATATACAGTGTTCCCTCCAAAAATAATTTATAAATAACAAATCACATTTTCTTAAGCATAATGTCTATTTTAATATAGTTGTTAAAAGATGACAGTTATTCTAATACTGTTAACAGCTAAAGAGTTAGATTCATGAACTCTAAAAGTTGAAAATGGCCTGAGCGACTCATTTCATCCAGAATTAGACTTCATCACCTCTAATAAATGGTTATCTAGCCTTAACCTTTCATCTCTATCTCTCTTACTCCCCTTGTGTTTCAGTGAAGAGGAACATGTTTCTGCCTGAAGTTGCTAGTTCCGTAAATACAAGCCTAAAGGCTGTAGAAAGGGTGGATTCCTTAGAATAAAGTCCAAATTCTGTTACATGGTTTGAAGATCTCTTCATGAACTGACTTCTACTTACCTTTTCATTTTCATCTCTCTCACTCCTCATAAATAATCTCTGTCCCAGCTACACTAAAGTTCTTGTGGTCTTTCCAGCACACCACAATGACTCTCACTTGCAGGCCTTGGATATGAACATTAACATAAAGTGCCCTACCCCTCTCCTTTCCTGGGCCTGCTCCCTGTTCATCCTTTTGAGCTTGGTTGAAATGTCGCTTCTCCAGGAAGCTTTTTCCAGCCCTACGCACATTAGTTGAGATGCCCTCGTATGGGCTCCCGTGGCCCTGCCTTCTCCTGTCATAGTGCTTACACTGTCCTTATTGCTTGCTGACTATTTAGCCTTCCCCCTAGACCTGTACTGTCCAATACAGTTGCCACTAGCCACGTGTATTTATGGCACTCTTAAAATATGGCTACTCAAAATCGAGAAATCCTATATATGTAAAATGCACACCGGATTTTGCAATTTAGTTTGAAAAAAATTGAGTATATCTCAAAAATTTGCATATTTATTATATGTGGAAATGGTACTATTTTAAATAGTATCAGGTTAAATATAATATTAAAATTAATGATACCTATTTATTTTTACTCTTTTGAACGTGTCTATGAAAATTTTAAATAACGTGCATATCGCATCATGTTTTCCTGGACTCTCAGCACTGCGAGGGCTCTGCTTTCTCTCTTGCTCATCACTGGGCCCCAGTGCCCATCATAGTTCTGCCCCTCGGAAGGCATTTGGTAATGACTTTTGCAAGGCTCATGTATAAAGCAAAATGCACACAGACAGGACATTTCCGCTTTTATAAAGTTTGTATTCAGTGAACTAACATCAATGTTAGTAAAAAATTGATGTTCAGTCATATAAACTGTGACTGTCCCATGCTGCTATGGTCTCACAACATTACCACTCAAATCAATTAGAAAAACACATCGCCCTCCCCGTACTTCAGTTAATTCATCTTTAAGGTGAAATGGTATCCCTTCCCCCCTTATTCTTTAGGGATGCTATGAAGAAAAATAATGCTCTGATAAAATATTTTTATTCATTAAGAATCTTTAATAGGAAATGTACATTTAAAAACTCCCAAGCTCTTTAGGAAAAAGAAGATTTATGCATTTAATTTTGAAAAAATGGCTGTGGTGTTGATTTTGCAGAATTAATGTATATTTGATTTGTGTAGCCTTAAAAACGGGATTAGTTCTAGACATCCCTTTGAATAAAGAAGTCTGATTATTTTCCTCAGCAGGCTGTCCATATGTTATATTAGAGGTATTCCATATTTGATTGCTCTTTCTATTCTCTGGATACATCAAGGAAATCACCATTTAATTTTAATTATTAAATTAAGTCTAGTTTAATGAAAAGATCTTAGTTCAAATGTTGGTTCTACAACTTTGTAAACTCATCTTTCTCATCTTGAAATGGGGGTGAATGATATTTATGATGACGATCATTGTTACTTTTGTTTAGCAAACATAACCCTACTAATTATTTTTTGCTTAAGCTAGTATGGAAATTCGTTTGCAATTCCCAAGCTCATGCCAAAGTCAAAGAAATATGCTAATCACTTTTCAGGTCATTGGGATTCAGATTCAAATTCACAAAATAATCAGTCCATTGACAATCAACATATGACAGAAGGCTTATAATATCAATTTTTAAATGGAAAACAGGGGTGAGGAGCTTTTTAGATAAGTTTGACTTTTGTTGATTAAATGTATATACTTAATATTCCCTGACTGAAACTTTTATGTAACCTCCATTCTGACTCATGAACTGGGTACATGGCTAGAGCTTAATGAATGCTTGTTAAACAAATAAATCAATAAAAATACGTGTACATTCCCAACCAAAGTAAAAGGAGAAAAAAAAAAGTTGTTAGATGTTACTGAGAATCAATTGTCCTCTGCCCTCCTGTTGAAGAACGAGGAGACCTAAGCATCAAAGTCCTCAGGATAAATCAAAGCAGTTTGAGGAATAAGTGAGATTCCCCAGTAAACGGAATCCAAAATCCTCACATTCTATTTCTGGCTCTACCATGTACTTGAGTAAGTCACTTACCTTCTCTGATCCTCGTTTCTTCATCTGGAAAATAGGAATAGCTAATTCTTGCTGTGACCAATAACTGGGATGGTATATAGGAGAGTTCCCTGTGAATTGTAAATACACATGTAAATACACTTGTAAGCATTTTGTCTTCTTTATGCAGAGCTGGGGTGTCTGGAGAGCAAGTAAGTGCACAAGTCAGAAACCTGAGTGTGGTTTCCTACCCATGAATACCTGTCCACAGCCAAACAGTGTGATCTGTGATAGGTTGACAGCTTCATTCCAAGCCGTTCTTCCCTTAGGGGTTATGTGACTTTTAGAGAAGAGAATAATAATCATTTTCTACATTGGTACATGTAAGGTGTATCTTTTCACAGCATTGATAGTTCACTTTTTCCAACAAAGTTGTTAACCTGGAGAGCAACCTTCAAAATAAAACATAAAATAAAATTTACATTAAGAACTAGTTATTGCTATCAAATTTTAGTGGAACATAAACTTATTCCTGATGAAGTTAATCAGACTACTTTGCCATCCCCTTACTGTTTTGATAATCTACATGTTGCTTCCTCCATCTTCCCCAAAAGGCGCTGTTTATATTAACATTGATACAATTAAGAAATAAGTGAAGATATCAGAGAGGTTGATTATCACCCTGGTGGAAAATGGTGTGGCCAAACCCATTGAATTGAATGGCTTGCCAGTGGGCCATAGTTGTCATTGCCACGGCCTGCGATAATGCACTTATTCTTCTGTCATCTTAAATCTCTTGAGTTCAATCTGTTATACAGTGTGTGTTAGTATGGTAACTTCATGCCAACTAAATTATCAAATGACATTTCATAAGGAAATTGATTTCTCATTTTAATAAGTAATCTTCCCAAGAAACATTCTGTACAAGAAGTCCAACTCAGAAGAGGATGAAATGTAAAAAAGAAAAAGAAAAAAAGAGAAAAAGCCTAAAAAATCTTCCTTTCTCTTAAAAAAAAATCTGTCTAGCCTCAGTTTGAAGTACCAAGTGGGGATCTGGGAGTGCCTCAATCCCAAGTGACGGAGGCCCAGCCCTAATTTAACAGTAATAATGCTGGCTAATACACACTGAGCAAATACTAGGCACTATCCTAAATTATTTTCATGTATTAACTCACTTAATTAGCACAACAACCCATGAGGCAGGTACTATTTTTAATCCCCATTTTATGGATGAGGAAACTGAAGCACAAAAGGCT